AGAAAGTGGAAAACTGATCGCGATGTTTGCCACTTATTTCAGCTCTTTTATGCTCTTTCGCTTATTCACAACTATCGTAAAATTTCATCTCCACTCACGACAACAAGAACTTGAGTTGAAAACTGACCACGATGTGTAGACACTTTTCATGTTGCCGTTTTCGGACAGGCTGTTTCCAGGTACCAGAGCATGTTCACAGTTGTGAGTTTCAGCTCATTCAGCTTGTGAGTTTCAGGTCCGTCCGCTTCTCATGGATGGGATGATCCTTGGTCTATGATCTTTCGCTTCCTCAAAATTATCAGAAAAGTTCGGCAACTCGTCAACTCCTTTTTTTAGTACCGCTACAGCTTGTGAGTTTCAGCTCATTCAGCTTGTGAGTTTCAGGTCCGTCCGCTTCTCATGGATGGGATGATCCTTGGTCTTTCGCTTCCTCAAAATTATCAGAAAAGTTCGGCAACTCGTCAACTCCTTTTTTTAGTACCGCTACATGTAGAACAGAAAGTGGAAAACTGATCGCGATGTTTGCCACTTATTTCAGCTCTTTTATGCTCTTTCGCTTATTCACAACTATCGTAAAATTTCATCTCCACTCACGACAACAAGAACTTGAGTTGAAAACTGACCACGATGTGTAGACACTTTTCATGTTGCCGTTTTCGGACAGGCTGTTTCCAGGTACCAGAGCATGTTCACAGTCGAATGTGAGGTGCGAACTGAGCTGACAACGAAAAACTGCCACAGACCCCTGCAGAGCTAGGCTGACAGAGTACGGGGTGCCATTGACGGCGGGCTTTATTGCTACCGTATTTTTCCGTATCCATTGACCACGGGCTTTATCGCCAATATCGGCTCATCAAGGCCACCGCGGGAACGTCGCTCATTGGCTACAACCATAGCAACGGTACGGTAAAAAACCTGAATGGTCTATTTTAAAAGATCAAATGTACGGTGGGTTTATGTGGAGGGGCAGAAGGAGGGAAAACGGGCTTCAAATGTGTATGGTACTAATTATTGCATGCAGGGGCAGCGGGGAAATGGGTCAAATTATGGTTATGAAGTGTGTACGTACGAACTACTGCATGCAGGGCTCGGGCCTCGGGGTAGGAGGTAATGGTGCGCGTATTTAGAAAAGCGATCCTGTCGTGAATATTGTGTTCACATGGCAGAAAAAACGACATCGCTATGCTACGTAAGTTTCTACGTAAGGTGCTCGGTATTTCGCTTAGGCTACGTAAGTCTCTACGTAAGGTGCTCGGTATTAGATCTACCAACGGGTGGTAGCCGTGTGCTGTGCGCGTGCACGGCAGACATTGTGTTCAGTGCATGCAGTCCGCGGATCCGTGTTCGGATGTGCATGCGCGAGGAACTTCCTTCTTTGGAACTGCTTCTTGCATGAGCTGTTTCGGATATTTCGTCTCATGGCCTGGCTTATTTCGTTTCGGCGCTGCTGAGACCTCCTTTCGCGGAATATTACTCAATGACAGGTGAGTTGACCAGTTGCCTTTGATTCATTTGCTTGTGTTGACTCTTTCATTCAGGAAAAGTGTGCTGATTTTGGGGCGGAATGCAATAAATAATGGAAAAGTTGACAGGATCTCTTTTCTAAATTTTGCTTTTCTGCTGCCGAGCTGCGAGGCCTCCTTTTACGGAATACTCGATGACAGGTGATCTCTAAGTTGACCGGTTTCCTTCGATTCATTTGCTTATGTTCACCTTTCATTTACGGAAACGTGTGCTGATTTTATTCGGATTTAGATCCATTTTTATTTACCGGTCCTGCTGAATCAAGACGCGGAGCGAGTCGGCTGCCGTCTGAGGACTCCAAGGGACTTGCAGCTGATGGCTCAGCGAGCACTGGATCGCCGTGAATGGACATATCTGTGCAACGCAGTTACAGATGCGTACAAGGCAGAGTACTGGTGAAGGAAGCTGGCACTGCAATGGTTTGAGCTACATTCTTTGTTGTTGGTACTCTGATTATCCGTATTATCCGTATTCACATGGCCTTGCCATTCATTCAGTATATTAATGTCATCAATAATGATATTCTTGTTTGTATTAGTTTATGTGACACCATTTTCTATTTTTCTTTGCCTGCCTGCCTGCTGGCGGCCTTTTTTCGCATGGTTCGGTGCAAGCGAATTTGGGCGAGCCCATTGACGCGGGAGCACAAATAATAATAATAATAATAATTTATCTCTTTGCCCTTGTCTACAGTGTGCGAAGAACGCGAGTTCAACTTCTTGACGGTAAGGCTTATGTTAGATGTGTTGTCGAAATACTCATATTCATTGTACATTGGTACGTTACAAGTAAGACACTGGTCAGTGGCATACTATCGTTGACAGTTCCCAATCTGGAGGGAAAGGTTCAAGTACCAATTGACCGAGTTTGCAAAAATAATAAATTCGTATATCAGGGGAAATCTCTATTGTGGAGAGGTTCAGTAACTTGTTTGTTTCATACGAAACAAGCCAATGGGTGCAGTCTCGTCTCGTGAAAATCTCGTACTTGTATGATTGGATTTGTTTACTCAAGTCTGGGCTGTTTGATTTGTGAGTACCGCCGAGATTGCACTGCCTCAAATAAAGTTTCGTGCCGGTAGAGCAAGAATTACGATCTGCAATCTGTTTCTAGTACCTGCAAGAATGTGCTGTACATGTATCGTATTTTCTCTGTTGTTGTTTCAGTTGCCGTCATGTTGCTAAAGAAAGGTTCAGTAGAGAGGTTCTGCAAAACGAAAATTCGAACGAAGTTTCGCGACAGTCCTTGCGAAAGTGTGTGCGAATTTTTGCACGAACTTTGCGTTCTGCACATTTTCGTAGTTTGCGCGGGCCAAGTGCACTTACGCCATGACCCGATCTCACGAAATTTCCTACGACAGTTCATTTCGCGTTCCCTGCAAGTTTCCCACTTCATGATGTAGAGCGAAAGTTTGTACGCATTTTCGTTTTGCAGAATCTCTCTAGTGACTCAATTGTTTCATACGAGACGATGAGTCGGTGTGGCTTAGAATCTTTCGCTGTAGAAGAAATCTATTCGTATGTCTATTGGAGATATAATTGTATTCTCTGGTTATAAAATAGGTTAAGCTCACAGAATAAATACCATCGGTCCCTTGGTGTTCGTCCTAAAGAGGTTCGACTGGATATCATTCATACTCACCAAAAGATGTGTAAGATTTTATTATTGTGGAGTGCCTTGTTTATCTCTCAGTACCTCCAACCATAGCCTTGCCCCTTTTCTCCTCAGGATCAGTGTAGTTGTTGGAACGAGGTTTTGGACTCAGCAATGTATTCGTTTACATTTTAATACATGTTTATTGTTCCTCCTTTGCTGTGTTGTTTTAGACAATCGTGGACTAACAGTTTGAAGTCATTGAACTACTTCCAAAAGTTGTATCGACATCAACAGGATTACGATTTCAGTTTCAATATGATGCTGGATGACCTTATCACGATAACCCATGACTATAAACCATTATAAACACAGAATCAACAAAAACATCTTGAAATTCTGCAACAGCAACATGCACAGAATGACCTCCGTATAAAAAAAGTATCACCACCACTGCTCACATGTTTCCTCGCAGAAGAACATGCATTATGCTAGTGCCATTTTCTGCAAGAAAAGGCTTGCACATCAATGCGTATAATATGGTATTGATATGATGTGAAGGCCATCATTATTGATATAGGGCATTCCATTGATTGGTGACAGAAAAAACAAAAGAAATTATAGCAATAAAAACTGCTTTATGGCAGTTTTCTAAAAAAAGTTATTGTGTTCTAGTCCATGGACCTCGTCTAAAAAGTAAGAAATTAACGAAATGTGATAGCTGAAAATTAAAATTTCACACAAAACCTCACAATAATCACACACAGAATGAAAAGCTACATGCAGAAGACCTTTTCCCCTCGCGATCCTCTTTCCTATGCATGCATGTTGCCAATTGTTGGTGCAGTACAAGTTTAGTGTTGAAAGCAGGGAGTAGTATTGTACTACTCCCTGGTTGAAAGCAGCATTTCAAGTGTTGTGATTATTGTGAGGTTTTGTGTGAAATTTTAATTTTCAGCTATCACATTTCGTTAATTTCTTACTTTTTAGACGAGGTCCATGGACTAGAACACAATAACGTTTTTTAGAAAACTGCCATAAAGCAGTTTTTATTGCTATAATGAATTACTGCATGCAGGGGTAGGGGGTAATGGAGTGTGTATGAACTATTTCATGCCGGGGTCGAGATCCAAATATGGGATGCGTATAACACATGTACATGATCGTACAGTAACAGGCAATATACCGTAAAATCCCGCCAGAGCGCCCCTGCCTCCTCGACGCTTCAGGTGGGGAGGGGCGGATGGGCGAGTCCTACTTGCCGCATTCAGTGCTACATGAAAAAGGACTCACCCTCACAAAAAAAAAGGAACAAAAATGTCGAAGAAAAGTGATCAGATGTTTGGAGACCTATTCAAAAATCCGCTTGATTAGCTCTCCACTCACCCTCGAAGCACTGGAACTGCGCAAAAGCAATCGATATCTCAGTGTTTGTCCACAATGTCTCCACAAGTTGTCTAAATCCTTCAGCAAAATTGAGAACACCACCAAAATGCCCTTCAAATTTCCCGCGGTTGCAAATAAAATGAGGACCCTTTCTGCAGCTTTTTCAAACTTGGCGCATCGACTGCCTACGAAAACTGTTCGTGCATCTCGTACACCGACCAAAGGTCAAGAGCCAGGAGTCGGACAGACCCGACAAAACGCAGGGTTTGTGCGATCCCTGGTCAGGAGGGTGGGCACTGTTGCGTGCATTTCCAACGGGGCCGGGCACCCGTCTGCAGTGCAGTACGGGGCGCTCTGGCGGGATTTTACGGTAGTAGTGCATGACATGTACTCTTGCTACAGGTAAACATGTAACACATCATGGTCAAGCAGGAATTGAAGTACTACTTTCTAGCTGTCAGAATTATAAGAGATTAGGAATAGAGGATCGAGTCAGATCTGAAGGAGCTTTTCGTGGAGTGTAAGCGTGTTTTGCGTCAGGTGTCCGTGCAGTTCCAGTAAATACCTATTGGATCGCGTGATAGTGTTGCCTCATATCTAGTCCGGAACTGAACCGAATTCCTACCGATCTGGAGTTGTCGCTGAACCAAACGGTGTGAGTCTTTACAAGTTCTTATACTAACGAGTAATGATGGGGGTTGGGTTGTGTTCATTTGAATTCGCAAACCGAACGGACTGTTCATGTACATTGTCAGGGTAGCGAATGGGGCCCAACTAACCCAGGCATGGGAAAGAAATTTTTAAAAAGGATCTTGCAATTGGTAAAAAAAGATAAAAGATATGAGGGAGAAGAAGGACAAAGGGATTGTAAATCGTGGTCAATTCGAGAAGAAATGAAAACAGAAAGGAGAAAAGGAGGTGATAATAATGGTGGTCACGGCCAATGTCCGGAGCAGCGGCAGGACACTTTAGACACGTGCATGTACTTACATAGAAAGAACAACAGGAACAAAAACAGGAACAAAAACAGGAACAATTATGGGTCATGCCGGTCCAGGAGTGGGAGACAACCACAGGAAAAGAGAAGAGAGTAGAGAGAACTCGAAGCCACACACGCACACGTACACATACACGCACACACACGCACGCAGGCGAACGGCGGTGTTGGTTTTCCGGCACCTTATGGGATATAATTATAAGTATTACATAGTACGAATACCTTGTAAGAGCACAGCGAGGTTGCCCAACAAAATAAGAACGCCCCAGTCTAACCCCTACAAACACACATACCCACAAAAACAAATGATACACACATGCACACACACACACACACACACACACACACACACACACACACACACACACACACACACACACACACACACACACACACAAACGCACACACACACACACACAATTATATAAACATGTGTATACACACCTACATATACACACAAACTCGGAGGGAGTTGTGGTTGCTCGTGAGAGTGCTCAATACACCAAGGTGCAGAGCCCAGTACACACACTTGAGAGGGACGAAAAGCGTTTCTTCTGTAACTCTGAGTTTCACGGTTTTAACCGATCATCAGACACCAACTTGACTACGATTTTCAGAAGATAAGATTGGTATAGGCTGCAAGCTTGGATCATAGCGCGAATGGATGATCCGGGCTGATAGTTTAATTGTAAAAATGCAGGAGTTGGTTGATGGGGTGCAAAAATAGGGACAAAAAAAGAATACACTTTAGGCCTAGGCTCATGCAACCACATGGTCTTCTGAGGGAGGCAAGAAGAAGGACAATGGGGTAATTATGAGCAGCACGTCACCTGCGACTGCGAGTGGTGAGAAGGTTATGTGACGGCTGATGGTGAGAATTTTGAAAGGTAGTACTTATTTTCATGCCTGCACTTGCTAACTAACTCCGATCAAACTTTCGTTTTGCATTTGATTCGTAGCAAATGCGAATGGTCCCTACTAACTACATTACTGCGACACCAAAACTCTAATTATGTTTAGCCATTATCGCATCAGCGTGGGGTTGAAAAGAAAACACTGCGGTTACCTATAAGTTGACATGTGTGGATTCACTGTATTGCAATGATGGCATAGTTCATCTTGTTGATAGCCATCATTTAATCTGGCCGTTCAATAGCAATTCGCGTCATTTTTGCAAGATTTCTTTTTTGAGTATTTCCCTTCCCTTTCAAAGAGACACACATCGCAAGTACGCGTATGTGTGTGTGTGTGTGTGTGTGTGTGTGTGTGTGTGTGTGTGTGTGTGTGTGTGTGTGTGCATGTTTGTACATGTATGTGTGCATGTGTGTGTACTTGGTCTGGCTCATCGCAATTGTTGCTTATCTATCGCCACTAAGAACAGGATTTTTTTACCGCTCTGTGAAATTTCCAGTAGGCATAGTGAGGAAGCATGATACAAGAATACTCTCCGCCACAAGAAAAAAATTTCAGCGCTGGAATCAGGTGAAGCGAGTCGAAGAAAGGAAGCAAAGAAAGCAAAATACACGAAATAAATCCGCGAAGGAGCTCGTTCTTGCACTCACACTTTTACAGGTCCAGAGTTCATTCAACTCTGCATCACTAGAGCTGCCGCGCCGTTACACGAGCTGACATTTGCTGTTGTCTAGCTGCTGGTGTTGACTGGAGTATCTCTTGCCTTCTCAGGCTGTCGTATGGCAGCAATGAGAAAGGAACAGTTGTGGCTGTCACTTCGGTGCTTGAAGGAACCATGGGCAGTGTGACTCGTGTGTCGACACAGTGTGTTCAACAAAGCCTTCGAGGCATACAGGCTTCTCCAGACAGCTGTCATACGCTCTGCTGGATACGCTGACCACGATACTTGTAATGCTGCTGCAAGTCCACCAAGCAAGGAGCAATAACCGTCCGCCGGGCGCATCGCATCAAAAACACCTTTCTTCTTCATCATGACGCTCATGCGGCTCATACTCCTCTGCCGTGCACACGTGCCTGTCACGCTCTCCAGGATGTCAGTTGCCCCTACCACAGTTCCGATCTTCGGGTCGCTGCGCTTGGCTTTTGGCAACACAGACAGTGAATGGCCAGATTCACACTTCCCAAAAAAGTCGAACACATCGCGATTCAAAGCGCTAGTCGCGATCATTTTTCTTTGGTGCCTCCTTTGATCTTGCCATCACAACCTCCCAAGCAAAAGTAAGTTAGATACCGTGATTGGACTGGGTTTGACCTGACAAAAAGTGGGTGGGAGATAAGCGACAATTGCGATGAGCCGGACCCAGTATGTGTGTGTGCATGTGTGTATTTGTGTGGGTGTGCGGGTTTCTGGGTGCATGTGTGTATTTGTGTATTTGTGCGGGTTGCTGGGTGCACGTGGGTGGCTTGTGCCAGTGTGTGCATGGGTATACTCTTAACATCCATGTGCGATTTCTGGATTGCCTCAGGGTTTCTTCACCATTCTCGAGGTTCTTTCATATTAAACGATACCAACATGGCCACTTTAAGCAACTCTAAAGGTAGGTCCATGTCAGTTGTTACGAGCCTGAAGAGCCTTGTGTGGTGATTTCAAATTAATAATTATTATTTTAATGTAAATAGAAGAAGAAAACACATGGCAACGAGTTATGAAGCAACTATCCACGAATGTAACTGACTGTGATGTATATATATACTACATACATAGAGATTTCTTATTAGGAAAGAGCTTGGCTGATGTGGTGTATTGGAACTCATGTGAAATCTACACCGCGATTGTTTTCGTTAATAAATAATATTTCTTTTCTTTTCACTCTCTGCCTAGGTGCTTTTTGTTGCTCAATCGTCGTGAGTTCCATTTGGAACGTAGATGAGAAATATTATTATTATATTATTATTATTATTATTTTCCACGAATGTAACAAAATAATAAGCGGTCAGTACGTGCCATAAAAGGGCACAAAATGACAGGCTACAGAGGCATTCAACGACCTAAGACCTAGCTCTAACACATATCCAGTGCGCAAACCAACAGCCTTCCAACTTGGAAGGTTCAAGATTGGGTGGGACCAACGAGGGGAAGGTGAGCGCTGCTGAAATGTGCACCAGCTAAGTCCCAAGGCAACAAAGATTGCAGACTTTTACAGGACGATGACGAGACCAGTTAAAAATGATGATGTGGTTGGTTTGCGGGCTGGAGATGTGTAAAAGCTAGGACTTTGGTCGCTGAATGTTGTTGTTGTTGTTTGAATTTGAATTCTTTATTCTCACGATGGCACCATCGCCAATAAGAGATAAATTTGTGAGAAGGTAAGATTGTTGTTGTTGCTGTTGTTGACTTTTATTTTACTTCACCAACTGCACATGCATGATTGCCTTCTCACCGTCCCATAGGCTCGGTTCTCACAGAAAGATGAAGGAAATGATAATATTCACTGGTTCGAGGGAAAGACACAATTTGTTATGAGGGAATGTAAAGAAATAAAGACCTGCAAGCGGTATAATTATTAAAATGTCTCAGTAGCCTGTCAGTGTTGTGCCCTGTTATCGCACATACTCACCGCTTATTATCTTGTTGCATTCGTGGATAGTTGCTTCATAACTCGTTCCCATCTGTTTTCTTCTTCGATTTTACATTTCCTACTTGCTCATTAAAAAAATTGAAAATTTTTCACGGTTCGCGTGAAACTCAGCTGGAAGCCGAGTTGCATCCACCGTGGGAACACACCACAAGTAAACCCAGAGGCCGCTTACCCCAGGTTTTACCGCACTACAAATATCATGGTAGTAGTCGGTTCAATACACTACGTAAAACAAATACACAATCCATGTACTTCGGGATATCGCAGCCTGGTGTTCCCCTCTGCTTGTCCTGCCCTACCATTATTTCAATTCACATTTGCATTGAAAGTTCACTTTCATGGCCAATGCTAAGATGATCCTTAACCTGAGAAATTCTTAGGCTCACTGTTTTCTTCACTTCACTTTTCCAGGTTCTCTATTCTTGTTCTTAGATCTTTTCTCCCTTTCCATCGTCATCATAACATTGGGCATGATTGCCCATTTGACCTCTGACTTTTTTGACCTGATGAGACGACATGATGCATTCAAACACCAGCATGACTAGTTCGCCAGCAACACTCCACAACAGGTTGCAGTTGCCTGCATTACATTTATTTGTCGATTTGCCCTGCTCCGGCAGCATGCCATCAAACATCAAACCAGGGATTGTCGAGACTTCACTCATATTTTCCGCTCTGCTACTGTAAAAAAATTGGTAGCCATGCCGAAAATAAGTTGATAAAGGAAATGTCAAAAATTAGGAAATCCTAAAAGTTTGCATTATTATCAGTATTTCAGGCTTCTGAAGAGGCATGGCCAGTTTCAGGACCCCAAAATGCCAAGTCTCGGCCATGGAAATCGAGATTTGGGCCGTCCAAAGCAGAAAACGACCTAAGGACCTTGATATCAATTATCAAGTTATGACGGTTCAAAGGTGACGTAACTTTTTGGAAAAGCGTGCGCGGCTTGGAAGTGATCAGATTGTTTTTGTTTCGACTACATCCTTGTCGTCGACAAGAAAGCGAGTGGGCGACTGCTTTTGAAGACGATGATCTTGAGGAAAGCTCACAAGATAGTTGGATCGAGTGTAGTGCACATGCAGAATGAGTCGTCGTCGTAGTTTGGAGCCCATTGGGCTGGCTGCGGAAGAGCGAAATGCACTTGAACCACTTGACGCGAGCTACTATCAAATTTCCGAGTCAGGCGAGTCGAGCTCCGTACAGCAGGCAGTTTCCGTGGAGGAGCACTCAGATGGCTCATCTGACAGCGATAGCAGCATCGAGTTACAGAAAAAAACGCGTCGACTACGGAGAAGCCCTCATTGGCGATTCCAGTGAGTCTGTAGACAGCGAACTTTCCGCTGCTTCTGACAGCGATGACGGCGCCGGCGCGACAGGGCAGGGATCAGCAGATCAAGAGCTTGCCCTAATCGCTGCAGATATTCGAGACCTGAAAATATTTAATCATCCGGCTGCAGCTGTAAGGGCAAGAACCACTATGAATCGCTGTCGCCCAAGCTGCTGGAAGAGCTTATGTTCAGCGCAAAGCAGCTACAGAAGTTCAGCGCGAAGCAGCTGAAAAAGAAAGCAAAAAGGTTTTCATCGCGGGCGTACTGACAACTGCGCTTCGCTCTGAACCTGCCTTCACGCGACACCACTATTCGTATTCACTGCTGGGATCTCAGGTTTGTCAGTCTGTGGCACTCGATGGGTTTGGTCTCAGTCCTTACATGCTGAAGTCGCTACAGGGCATTGTGGAAGATGCAAAAACAAAACCACCCTTGCGTGGCTTGGCTGGCAAATCGCCTGTGAATGTGACTCCTGCGGATGTTGCTGAGCGTGTTGTGACCTTCATTAGGAAGTATGCATCCGTCCATTGAATGCCACAGCCAGCTGCACCATGGGGGCAGAGCAGGAGTAGCCCCAACATATCTGCCAGCATCACTGTCCAAGCTCCTTGTGTACAAGTGTTATGCAGCGTGTGAGGAAGATGATGATGTGTCCTATGAAGTTTTCAGAAGGATTTGGGTCAATCAGTGCTCTTATGTGGAGTTTATAAAGCCGCAAATAGATGTATGTGCAATGTGGGAACAGTGTGGATGCGCGAGATCAGCGATGGTCCTGAATTTAAGAAAAACTTATTGAAAGCCAATGCTGGCGTTCCAGCTTGTCGCCCTGCCAACCTTGCGACCAGTGGACCGTGACAACAGCGCTGCTCCTACCTCAACAAGGAAGTACTGCCCTACCTTAGCCAAGGCAAAGAAACAACCTGGGCTTAGAAAACATCGTATATGTGGAACAAACGACAGTGAAAGACGAAAATACTGTTTGCGATAGTATAATATGGACCCCAAGACATAATAAAGTGATTTTAAGCATGATTTATGTGTCGTATCAGTCTGAAATTTTGTACAGACGTTCACTATGTCCATATAAACAAATTCCAATCAAAAAACAATTTTCTAAAATTTGACCCCTTAGGTCTGTTTTTGCTTTGGATGGCCCATTTGTTCAATATTTTGGAAATTTGATAACTAGTTGCCAATATTCTCAATCACGTGACTCTAGTTGATATAGAAGTCCATTGTAATTTTCCCAATTTCTTCTTGTTTGTGCTGGTGTGAAGGTGTCCTGATTGGCTGCTTGCTTCTCTTCAGTCCTCTGTTGATGATTGGATGCAAGGGTAAGATAATATATATATAATTAATATTAATTATTTAAACACATGGCGAGGAGACAACAATTTGATAACCGCAATCAATAAAACTAGCTGAACCGACATTTGTATACTTTATTCATGCAATGTAAAAAACGGTGGAGACGATGTGCAATAAAACGATGAAAATATGAAGAAATGGTGTACGGAAAAAATATGGATTCAAACAAGTTTTCGTACAACACTCATCAGGAATCGTCGTTGTACTAAAGGACACTGAAACAAAAATTGAACTATTATAGAAAATCTAAGTTAGAGACATAACACTAAGAGCCACAACAGTGAAATTTACAAGTGTGAATTTTAACAATCAAAGCGAGAAATGAACAAAGGAGAAAGGAAGGAAAGACAACGTGATAACACATAACAGCAGTACATTACACCTAGAACATTAACGGCCAAGCTTGGCCGCACTAAACACGACACGTTACTTGAGCAATTTCAACCCTATTATACTATCTTTCTGTACACACAAATGTCGGTTCAGCTAGTTTTATTGATTGCGGTTATTAATTATTGATAATGCTGAGAAAAAGGACGCACTTCATGCTCATCAACATCAGCTTGAAAGCGGTTTCTCGTAAAAAAAATTTAAATCCATTGTCCTTGTTCATTTGATTTTAGAGGAAGACGCCTGCTCCAAAGGTCGGAGTTCACGCTTCCTGCTGGTTGACTGACACTTGACTGACTTACGACTGCAGTCTAGAGCACACGAGAAGAATACTAGGCCACTTACTCGGCAAACCTGCAAGAAAGCACCGCCCCAGAAACTAGTACGACAAAAGGATTTCTGCCTTTTGGTCAGGGGATTGAAGTCGTTGCTATGTGCGTGACCAAGAGTACATAACCAAGAGTGTGCAACTCGACGATCCCCCAGCCCACGACGGAATTTTGTTATGACATCACTCTTTGGCGGCTGTTTGGCTCGTTGATGCCATCATGCGTAGCCAGAGATCAAAGTACGACGAATTTGTACATCACAGCTACGGTAGTCGAAGCAGAACAACGGGCGATAGAATTAAGATCGATGTGTCTTGAACATGACGAACTCTCACCATATCTACAAAACAAGCACAGTAAAGCAAACCCACTTCATCATACTTCTGCCCAAGAATGACGCAATAAAAAAAAATCCGCCGTGGGTGAACCCATCGCAGCTCAAGATAGGAGTTTCACACTCTTGGTTATGTACTCTTGGCGTGACCTATAACTTAGCTCAGAGTATTCCCCTTGAAGGACACTTGACCTATCACTTAACTCAGGGTATTCCCTTTGAAGGACACTTGACCTATCACATAGCTCAAGGTATTCCCCTTGAAGGACACTTGATCTATCACATAGCTCAGGGTATTCCCCCTGAAGGACACTTACCGTATTTTGCAGAGTAGATGGCGCACCTAGATTTTTTTGGTCGGGAGATGCAGACATTTACCCAGTCTATCACAGTTATTTTCACCATCACAGAATAAGTTGCACTGACGTTTTTTGGTGAATTACTGATGTTTAAAGGGGAAGTTAAGGCAAAAATCAAAATTTCACCAGTTGTAGTGTTCGGGGTACTGAGTCGAATGGTCTTGGTCCGTGAAAGCCAAGACACTCCCTTCCTACTTGAATCCCAATTGAATTCGCGCACTTCCACCAAAACTGGGTGACTGCGCCCTACTAGATGGGGATTTGTATGCAAAATGTCACTAAAAGCGCCATTTCGTTCTTATAAAAGCACGGATGACCGCAATTGGCCCATATGTTGTAGTCTTTTGGATGCTGAGTTGACTGGTTTTGGTCCGACAAGGCTGCGATGCAGCGTTCCTCCTTTATTCCCAATCGAACATGGTCGAACAAGTTGTCACATGCTCCTGCGTACACCAGTCACCTGGTCACCGTGCCTGCAGGGTAAAACTTATTAGCCTGTTTGACCTTTGTTGGGTGCATTCCTGTCACTCGAGTTGAACCTTGGTGTGAAAGTTGTCGCCTGCTGGCGTGGTGACCAGGTGATTTGGACACCCGGGAGCACGTGACCGCAATCATGTTCGATTGGGAATAAAGGAAAATCGCTGCATCGCAGCCTTTTCGGACCAAAACCAGTCGACTCAGCATCCAAAAGACTACACCATATGGGCCAATCGCGGTCATCCGTGCTTTTATTAGAACAAAATGGCGCTTTTAGTGACATTTTGCATACAAATCCCCATTTAGTAGGGCGCAGTCACCCAGTTTTGTTGGAAGTGCGCGAGTTCGATTGGGATTCAAGTACGAACGGAGCGTCTCAGCTTTCTTGGATAGGCCTTGACGGATTATGCTAATATTTTCGTGAAATTATGCTTTTCGCATTGCTGAAAAAATTCCCGAATTGTGCTATTTTTATGCTAAAAGGTATCATATTATGCCGCATTATGCTCACATATGCTGCTAATGTACATGATGGTTCTGTGCAAAATAACAGGGGAATTTTATGTAGAGGGCGTTGTACTGCAGTAGCAAAAGTTCAACGGGGTCAACGCACCGTCCGACCTACATGTAGCTACGAACGTCACTGATTGTAGTTGACTGGGCATATTATCAAGGGAGTCGTAAACCTCCGACTTCCTGGTGCATCTACTTGTACTTGTAGAACATGTACATGTACTGTATGGAATGTGATGCGAAAAGGCGGATTATTCCAATTTATGCGATTCGTATGCAATTAGCCTCGAATTATGCGATTATTCGATTTTGGTAGGAATTATGCGAAAAATTATGCTAGCATAATCCGTCAAGGCCTATTCTTGGACCAAGACCATTCGACTCAGCACCCCGAAGACAACTGGTGAAATTTTGATTTTTGCCTTTACTTCCCCTTTAAAGTGCGACTTCTACTTCAGAAAATATTATTATTATTATGCACTTACGCGTCAATGTCAGCGGTGGTAAACCACCCACAAATTCGCACGTGCTGAATGGACTTGGGAAATGAAAAATAAAAACAAAAAGAGCAACGACAACAGAAATAGAAATACAATACAAAACATACCTGCTAAGGGGCACATGACAGAAAATATAGGATCTCTCAATGCCTTTAATATTGTGACAGTAGTGAATTCGAGTGGAGACAGAGGAAATGTTCTGCTCTTCGCTGGATGTCGGGGTGACCACACTCTCTACAGTGTACCGTGCACTTTTACTTGCAAATAAGGTTCAAGGCAATTGACACAACCTTGACACATCAATAATCTTTGGCTTTTGTCCGCATGCTGCAATGTTCTTCTTCGGGAGGTGCGGAGACTGATTTCTTTCCGCTGTGCCATTCTCTGGCATACTGACCAATGTTGTTGTGTGTGTTGGTTTAATGCAGGGTGTGCGGACACGGACCCGTGTTGCCTGAACAAGCGCATCGTGACACGCCGGGATCACGTCTGCCGCGCCGCCACCAGCGAATGCGATGTGCCAGAGTACTGCGACGGCGAGAATGCCACATGTCCAGAGGACCTGACTGCGCGCAATGGCTGGCCTTGCTCCAATAGTCAAGCATACTGCTGGAGTGGAGTTTGCCAATCGTTATCTAGCCAGTGTCAGAGGGCCTGGAACGATTCAGCTCAAGGACAAGCTATTCTGGGCTGCTTCACCCGCATAAACACGCTTGGAATGAATGCTGGCAACTGTGGTTTCAAATTGGACAATTCCTCCGCAGCAGCAGGAAGGTTTACAGATTGTAAACCCGGAGATTCCCTCTGTGGTACTTTGTTTTGCCGTCCAGGTCAGAAACTATTACCAGTCCGTAGTGATACACAATACAGAATCTATACATTACAAGACCAAGGCCAATTGTTTGAATGCAAAGGTTTGTCCGCAGATCCACCAACAAGCCATGACGACCCATCGCTCGTGAATGACGGAACACTCTGTGATGCCAGCGGTGCTAACAAGGACCTCGTGTGCCACAAGCAACGCTGCATGGACAAGTCTCGAGTCACCAGGCAGTGTTCGGCCGATTCTGATGGGGGCAAAGAGTGCCATGGAATCGGTGTGTGCACAACTGCAACAACCTGCCATTACCCACCCACACTTGGTAAGCCATCACAATAGTGTGCGTCTTAAACTCATTAGAAAGGTCCCGCACAACGTAATTACATTACTAAAAACATAGTCGATCTACAGAAAGAACGTCAAAGTGGCCTATACAGCTAGCTGTCTTCAGCATTGGGTATTTGTCATCAAGGTCCCGCTTTATCTGGGGGCAGCTAGCGGCTCTCACCTTGCTGTTCCTCACTGGCTTGCATAGCAACACTACCAACACAGTGATGCAACAAATCAACGAAGATTTCATTTACATAAGGTTGAGGTTGGGGGAGGGGGTAGGGGTTGGGTGGGAGGGGTTAGTCAATGTTCTGTAGAGGCATGCTCCTGCCTCGGCACACACCCAAACCACACAAAGGACCAGCTCACGACTATCAAAAGAAATCTGTTAGAAAACAATTGCTTGAAGCCTCCTCCATGGTATGGGGCCAATGGCGGATTGAAATGCCACACCACTCCACGGTTTGCCAGAGAACGCTGGATGGCATCTTGGTTGAGCTTTTGCACAAGGGCTAGCAATTCCTTGTTGGCTCCCACGAAGTTTGTGCCATTATCGGACAACATCTCTAACGGCAGTCCGCGTCGGCCGACCATCCGCGTGAATGCATTCAGAAATGAGTCGGTGTCTAGCGCATAGCTCATCTTCAGGTGGACGGCACGGCAGAGCAGACAGGTGAACAGGCAGAGGTATCGCTTCTGTTGAACTCGTCCTCGACCATGCTTGGTCAAGAATGGCCCTCCATAGTCCACAGAACACCGGGCATACGCGCGCAGTGGAGTTTTCAACCACATAGCAGGCAAGGGGGCCATCACTTACTCCACTGGCTTGCGACGACGGCATGTAGTGGGTGGTTATCGCGGCAAGAGTCTCGATCGTTCCACCGTGATGCCGCATCTCATGGTGCTCTTTCATGGTGAGACGTGTTACAGGGTGCCAGCGCGGCAATACGATTGGATGGCACACATTGAAAGGCAAATTGTCTGCCAGTCGGGTTCGTCCAGAGGCTCTCAAAAGACCAGCGTCATCGATCACAGGCTGCAGCTTTCCTAGATGCAACTTGGCCGGTAAGGGTTTGTGCTGCTGCCCTGCTTCAATAACATCCTTGAACTCTTCGTGTTGAGCTTCCAGGATGATGTCGTTCTCAGCCTCACTTAGCTCCGCTACGGTCAGCTCCCCGCTTTGCTCCTCGGCACGACTACAGTTGTCAAGGAAGCGGTTTACCCAAGCCCAAACTCTTTTGTATCGCAGCCAACTGGAGAAACGATGTGGCACAAGTCTTCCTTCTCCCCTTCCGTCACCTGTGGCGGTTTCTTGCTCGTTAGCAGTGGAATTCGCAATCATCGTCACTTTCCTGCTCTCTTGGTCGGCCTCGTGTGAGAATGAGGCGGGTCCCACTGGCCACTGCGCTGGTTTGTTGTGCAGGAAGGGTGGTCCCTACCACCACAATGCACAACTACTTAGCTCCGCAGCCGAAGTGCCACGAGATGCGAGGTCAGCCGGATTCTGTCCAGATTGCACATGACGCCATTGCTGCGTCTGTGTCGTCGTCTGGATCTCTCCAACACGGTGCGCTACAAATGGCTTTAAATTAGGGCTTGGACTTCTGATCCACCAGAAAACATCAGCGCTGTCGCTCCAGAAGGTCACCTCGGACATTGGCCACTCCAGGACTTGGCACACAGTTTCGGCCAGATGCAAACCGAGAATGGCAGCCAAAAGCTCCAATCGTGGAATGCTAATTACCTTGAGTGGAGCAACTCGGGTCTTAGCAGCTAGCAGGCGAGTCTGTACAGTGTAATAGGAGCTTAGGTCCCGACTGTACGCTACAGCTCCATACGCCACCATTGACACATCTACAAACACACAAACATGGATAGAGCCGTCTCCGGCTGGCCCACTAGGGAACAGGCAACGAGGTATATTGACGGCAGATAGCTGTTGTCGGCTAATGGCCATATCACCTCGTCGTCCCAGTCGACGCTGAGTGCCCAGAGCTCCTGAATTACCACCTTCCCGAACGTTACAAATGGTGCCACAAATCCTAGCGGGTTGAACAGCTTGGCAATTTGACTCAGCACCTGGCGTTCGGTCACCTTGTTCACTTCCTGGAAGGCAGGCTGGAATTGGAACACATCATGTTGAGCTACCCATCTGACTCCGAGTGCTTCCATCGTTGGCAGGCTTCCATCATTGAGCTCCAGTGCAGACAGCCGGTCCTCCGCGGGTATCTCGGCTAGAACCGCAGGCAAATTACTCAGCCATTTCCGAGCCTTCATGCCGGCTGCAGCCCTGATCAGTGACAACTCTTGGCACATTTTCACTGCCAGTTTGTCGTTGGCTACTGAATCAAGAGTATCGTCCATGTATGTGGACTTCAACACACCATTGGCGCCTAGCGGGTGAGTCGACAGATACTTTGATGCATGTTCCTGCGTCACAAGATGGGCGACAAACGAAGAAACATTCAGGCCAAAGACCAGCTGCTCAAACTGATAGACGTCTGGTGGAGCATTACTCTGCGGTTGTCGCCACAAGAAACTCAAGTACGGTTGGTCCTCGGGGTGAATTCGAATCTGAAGATACATCTCCCGAATATCACAGACGATGGCTACGGGGTTGCGTCAAAATCTGAGCAGCACATCCAATAGCTGAGCAGCACATCCAATAGCTCTCGCTCCAGCTTAGGGCCCGGCTCTATGCAGTCGTTTAAGGCCACTCCATCGCACCTTGCGGCAGCGTCAAAGAGCAGTCGAACTTTAGTTGTACTCTTATTCATCGGGATGACAGGGAAATGTGGCAAGTACCATGCCTTTTCCGCTGAAACTGTTGTCGCCAGTCACCTCACGTAGCCCTTGCCTTCATACCGTTCGATTGTGCTGCTGTATGCCTCTGCAATAGACGGATCACGGTTCAGCCGGCTCTCCGTGTTGCGCAGCCTCTTCAACGCCATGCTGTAGTTGCCGGGCAGTTGCGACTTCTGCTCATTCCATGGCAGTCGAATCTCATACCCAGCCCCGTCGAGTTGCCGCATTGACTGCTCAACTTCAGCCTTCACACTGCGGTCTTTCATGTTCGAGGGGGATCAGGGCTGATGCCGCCTTGATCAACTTCCCAGAACCGTTGCAAGCAGTTGTAAAGCGGGTTCAGCTGAACGCCACAGTAGGTGCTGTTGGCGCGAGTTGGTCGATCATCATGGTGCAATACAGCTCCGATACATGTCCAACCTAACGGCGTTCTGCGAGCTAGTGGTTCTCCTGGCTTGCCATTGACTTCTTCAAAGGCAGAATGCAATTCACAGTGATCGTTGCCAATTAGAACGTCAACTGATTTCTCGGTGAGAGCCGGGAAGGAAACATCGCGCAGGTGGTCCCATTGCGCTGCCGCATTCGCCCAATCAACGGCCTTCAAGTTGCTTGCGATGTTATCAATGGTTAGCGCTGTTAATGTTCCGTCAGCCCTTTCCACTGTGATATTGACCGGCGTCGTGACGAATGTTTCCGTCAACCCACTCAGAACAGAAACTGATATCTGCTGCGGTCTTCCTGCCACCCTCAACTGGCCGGCAGCTGCAGTGGTTATGTAGGTGGTAGTGCTGCCATCGTCCAACATAGCGTTAACCTGTAGTCGTATTCCTTCATGCGCAAGCGATACCGGGAGGATGCGTAACGAGACTGATGGTACTCCACGCGGCCGATCTTCTCCCAGATCCGGCTCCCCTTCTGTGATGCCGCATGCTTGGATGGAGCAATTAATAGAGGCTGGCTCTCTTGCAGGTGTTGTTGCCCCTCTTGTGCTGATTGAAGCTGTGGGAGCGCTTGAGGATGCTGCATCACTGCTCATCGCTGCTTCAGACAGGTTTCGTTTCTGCTGCGTTTGACGATCATGAAGCAGCTGGTGATGTGTCTGACTGCGGCCACTGACACCGCACTTCCTGTTTCTGGTACAGGATGTCCCTCGATGTCCAGTGCCATGGCACCTATACCAGAGGCCTTTCTTCTTTGCTGTTTCCCACCGCCTGCTGGGAGACTCGCTCTTGAAGATGCCACAGCTCCATGTGTGATGGGGTGCATCACATACCGCACACTGGATTTTGGCAGCGCTCTGACCAGAGGCCAGGAATGAGAACGCGTGGGCTCCGGAGCTACCACCGAACGTTGGCCGACTTCTTGCAGGAGCTGGTTTAGTCGTCAGTGTCGCTGCATGATGACCATCCGCAGAACTGACTCCGCGGGCCATCTCCGCTGCTCCAGTAGCGAATTCTGCCTCGAGGGTCACCCATTCCAACAGCGTTGGTACACTGCTGGGTTTCGTGTTGTTGTGACGCCAACGGTTAAGGTGGGTCAGCATGGGCATTGGCAGCTTGTGTTGCAGCTGTCAGAACAGAAGACCATCGCCCAGCTCATATTCCTTGCCTGCATCCACCATGTTCACTATCAGCATATCCAGCAAATCGGCAAATCTCTGCAGGTCTCCAGGCCGGCCTGTCCGGAGCGCGGGGAACGACTCTATTTCCTCAATTTGGAGGTTTGTCTGCCTCTGCTCGCCACCAAATTTCCTGTCTAAACGGTTTACGGCGGCTTCGTAGGCATGGGCCGAGTAAACTAGGCCCTCGATGGCGACCAATACCTCTCCACCTAAATACTGCTTCAGGTGCAGGACTTCACCTCCGGACTTGAGCTCGTCTGCCCAACACAAGCCATGAAGGCTGCTCTCCAGGCACGATAGGCGTTCTTGTTGCCTGTGAACGTTGGAAGTTGTATGGGTTTCAGCCTCCGGAAAATCTCGTCCGATGACTGCTGTTGCCGCGTTTGGCCCGGTGTTACTGATGGCACCAGTACTAGTGCTTCCGCTGACTGCCTGCTGGGATGCAGGCATCTCTGGCCTCATTCCGTTTGCGCTGCTGGCGCTGGCAATCTGGAGTGCTAACGTTTCAGCCGGTGGCACAGTTAGGTCGCTGGTCATGCTGATCGCTCCAGTGGCCCAGTTTGGGG